TTACAAGGCTTCAAGTAAAAATTTATACTAAATTTATACTAAAATTTATACTAAATATGCTAAATTCAGATCTGTAACATGAACCAGAAACTGTCAAGTCTTCATAAAGGAGAGATTTTCTATGTCATAACACAGTAACAATGACACAGAGGTACATACAACAGGTCAAAAATCTATCAACTGATTGACCTATGGGTGAGTGGGTAAGATTGTCGCCAAAACATTGTTTTCTGGTCCCCTTTCCTTGTTTTCCTTCTGAGATAGTCACACTTTAAATCCTTCTACAGGTTGTGTGCTAAAAGTAGAGGGAGGCTGATCGGACTGAAAATTCATCTCCCCTCCCATCCTCAGTAGTTTAAGGTTATCAGCTTCCAGTGTTCAGGGGGAATGAAAATAGAATCCTAAGGAGATCGTAAGCAATTGAGATCCAAAGTTCAGTGATGCACTGAACTTGTAGCTACAGCTACAGGCAAAAATAATTTTTCTTTTCCGTTTATTTTTTCAACAAATATTTATTGAGTGCTTACTATGTGCAGGCACTGAGAAACAGAGATGAAGGAGACACAACATTTTTGCTCTCCTGGCACTTATAATCTAGCAGGGGAGATCAATAATAAGTAAACAAAGTACCTTCACAAACTACACATATGGGCAAAAGAGAAAATAACACTCATAGGCTAGTGACTGAGGAACCATTGTGGGGTATTAGAGGTCACACTTCAAAATTGGGCTTCATAACAGGTAGGCAGCATGGGCAACTGGAAAGACAAGAGGCAGATCCGGTAAGGCCTAGACGTCTGGGTTCCAGTTCCAGACTCACAACCATCTAGCTGTAAAGATTGTGGGGCAATTGACTTGGACTCCTTGGGCCTCAGTTTAATCAGCCATGAAACAGGAAAATCACCATCCAAACCTGCCTCATTGAGAAAACAAAATAAGACCACGGAGGTAAAAAAGTGTGCCAGCATTGAAAGCACTATACAGAAACACAATACGGTTAAGAAACCACTAGACCTGAGCTTAACTAGTGAGCTTGCTGAGGGCAGGGGCTGTGTATTACTGATTGTTGTATCCCTAACAAATCTGTCTCAAACATATTTTGAGTGAATGGCCAGCCAATTTTTGTAATGTCATCATTTAGTCCCTATTGTCATTTCCTGGTCTAGTGACTGACACATTGCCTAAGGAAGATGCAGATTTCCTGTAACAAACTCTCTGATCTCAGTCACAAACGCTAGCACCTCTGAAATCTGGCGTGCTAACATGCCCAGTTAGCTCAGTTAAGATGGCGGATCCTTGTGTGAATGTGATTACAGACTACAATAATGCCTCCTACATGCATCTAGCTATTATTTCAGCAATTGGCCATAATGAGTGTATCGTCATATAAAACAATGATTTAACTGATGACTATAAACAGCTACTTTCTTAAGTCAAATACACAAGCTAAATTCAGAAATATCCATAAAATTACTCAAACCACAAATTAAGGATAAATGAAGATAGATGGTATTAAGGGAGTCACATTCCTGAAACCCATTTTTATCAACAAAATACTCATGGAGAGGAGTGGGAATGTGGTCTACGATCAAGAAGACTTTGGACAGATTAACAAATGGTGTTTAATGGGAGTGACTATGGGTAGAATAAGTAAGCTCCTACAAGAGCCATCATGCAGGAAGTAGAACTGGACTTCTCTATACAAATCGTTTTACTCTCCCTACTCTCATCCCATCCCATCCCCTACATTTCTGGATCTTCGATCAGCACACAGTAGCAGCAGCCTCAGGTCCAGGAGTTACCTTCTTTCCCTAAACAGCAGTTACCCATACCTAAATAAAGGCCCTAAGCAGAGGAAGGAATACAGATACAGTCTCTGCTCGATCATGTTTGATACTGGATGAGACATGGATGTTCTGACACTGTATTTGACATCAGGGGAACTGGATGAGGTGTTTTAACTTGGTTGTTTTGATGTGGGAATATTCCGACCCAATCTAAAAGTCAGCCATTAAACTTGAGCATTTTCCCCCCAACTAATGTAAATAATGTGTCCATCCTGACTACTATTCCAATTGAGGACAGGATAACGGTAGTGCCTATTGTGCACATTACCTAGTAATTGAAAAGAAAAAAGGCTTACATTTTGTCAAGGCCATTTTGATGCAGCCTTCTCACGATCATAGATACTTTGGCCAAGTTCTGGCAGCTGCTTTACAGCCACTTGTGAAAATGCTTCTTTATAAAACTAATAAACAACCTAGGGTGAGCCATGCACAACAGCTTTGTGCTTTTAGATTGTCTTTCCCTCCGGCTCTGGAAGCCCTTGGAGCCAGGTGGCTGTGAGAGGGCTAGCTCCACCCAGATTCCTCAAAGGGGTGCAAGGGTTTACAAACTAGCAAGGAAACTTACCCAATTCAGGAGTTTTCTTGGAAGTCCATCCTGAGTCCACTGTATCCATTTTTTTCCCTTAATTTCATAGAAGCAGCTACTGAGAGTATATTTCTTCCAGGAAGGCTTCTCAAGGGTAGTATATGAGCATTCCAAAAGCTCATATACATGGCTTTTTCTTTGAATTTTACTTTCTCTTTTTAATGTGGTTACTCAACCAAATGAGAAGACATCTGCTCTTTATATGGTACGCTGCTTACCTGCTTGAGCCCAGTGGGTAGAAGACAGTTCTTGCAGCCTGTTTGGATTATCTCCCATTAGGCTGGGATGTAGTAACCGACCTCTACAGATGCTTTTCCTCTGGCTGGTTAGAGCTCAGAGGCCAGTGTTAGGAAGTTGCATAAATTTACTTCAAAATATATCATAAATAAAAAATAATTTTCTGTGGCTGAAAGAACCTCACCTGGAGAAATGTTGATTTATTACCCTTGTCTCCCTAAGTAGTACAAAATAATTAAGCCCTCTTCTCTTATGCCTGGGTCTTAGGAGGACAAAGTCATGAAAGAAAAGCCTCTTTGAAGAAAAAGGACCCAAGAGAAGCAGGTTAGCTCTAGTGAATGGCGACAGGAGGGATCCCATCAAAGTCTCAGCCCTGGCGATAGCCTGCAGCTGGTATGGCTGACACAGGGTACAGGGTGGTAGCCAGAAATTCAACTTAGTCCTTCAGCCCTCCCCAGGACAGGAAAGATGGTGACCTGCAGAACTCTACTTAGGCCCAGAATTAACACCACAATCACAGCAACCACACCCATTCAAAGGAAAGCAGACCTGGATCCAAGAGTCAGGGATGAGGAAATAAAGGGATAGGTGATTAGGACCATTTTTACCTTTGTCCTTTGGTACACAATAAATGAACTTCCTCTCTTTCATTAAAAAAAAAATTAAGGAGTACTGAATTTAGCTGAAGTGTGCAGGTAGGCAAGGGAGAACTGCAATAAGCTACATGAGAACAACTGAAGGTAGCCCACAGAAGACCTCTGAAGGTCTATCCACCAGTGTTAGTTTTAGACAGGAAACTCTAGAAAGGCAGAGAACATGTTTTTAGCACTACGGTTTGTGCAATTAGTATGTGTTTGAAGATGAAGGACCAAACTTCCAGGGAAAAGATGCTGACCTCGTCTGGCCAATATTTTCAGCCACTATTATCTCCAGGGACCACTGGAATGTCAGGCGACCACTTAAATTACATGGACAAAGCCACAAGCCCACAAAAAACCCAGCATCCTGAGACATAGTGCCTGCTGCCAATTTCCCCCTCAAGGAGACAAGCAATTGATGCTGCAGGCCAGTAGTAAAATAGGCTACTGGTGCCTCAATCCAGATTACTTCTTGAAGGAATGGGATAAAGTCATGCTTTCTGCTTAATTCAAGACGCACAAACATAATACGCAGAGCAGAAAATTCTCCTGGATCTTGAACTCTGCTTTTGCCGTGTAAGGACTCACATGTTAAATAAGATACTTCTTAATCTTCAATATGCTTGAGAGAACAGAACTCTGAAGCAGCAAACAGCAAAGGCCACAGCACAAAATTTATTGAGATTATTTACTAAATAATTCATACACATCCAACATCACTGAATGGAAATAATGTTAGTTAATTTTATTAAAAATAGCAAGGCTTCCACTGGGGTCTTTCAAGAAAGGCAAAAACTTCTTGGTGACTGTATCTTTAACAAATGGAATGACCAAACTAGTGAAGTCAGATGTATCTCAATCAACTCCTAAACTCAGTATTGCCAACATGTTTTCCTACGTAAGCAAACAAAAAGCAAAGCCTCACAATTTAGTAATTACTATGTTTCTTGGTTTTTGTTCTCAAATGCCACAAAAAGATATTTGATGAAATGAGGCAAACCAAATCTAAATATGAATATTTAGATCCCCATCTAACTGATTTCTTCATTTATGTGAGTAGGAATGCTTTCAAAATCTTAGTCTTGACTCTTGCTTCACACTACAGCTGTTTGATTAAACTACCACTAAAATCCCTCTGTATTGGCTGGACTGAATCACTAGATAAGAATTCATTACAGTCTCTTCCAAGAAACCAAGATAATCTCAGTACAAATTTTGGTGGCTAATATGTTACAGTACTTATGGATACTTTGTTTTCTAATGGCAAGTATCTTGAAAATATGTCATTAATAAATGAATTTCATCACACCCATAGAAATAAACGAATCTATTACAATACAAGAACATCCATAAATTGTCCTCACTATTCTCAATGACTTTAAATATAAAATCAATTTAATTATACAAAGTCAAATTTCCTTGCCCAATTTAACCCTGTATACCAAACTGTATAAGTGGTGAAAATGAGAAACATTTTAATAAATCTCCTATTAAGAACCTTGAATACCACCTTGCATTAGTGATGGCAGAAAAAGATTAGAAAGGAGAAAACAAATTTCTCAGAGACTTTTAAAGGAAGAAGATTTAAGAGAAAATTCCTTCGGACTTTATAGCCTTTTAGTTATTCTGTACCTTTCAAAGCTTCAACACGATGCCAAATAAAAAATATTCTGAATAAAAGTAGCCAGGAAGGGAATCAAACATTTATAAGATATATTTATTATTTTTCTGACCAAAGTGCAATGATTTTTAAATCTTCTTAAACAAATAACTATGAAAAAAAGTATTCAAGAAAATAAAATACAAATGGGAAATTTAACCATTAGATTTCTTCTACTTTATACTAACCCTGTATTTAGTCTAGAAAACAAACAAAAAAACTTGGAAGTGTTACTAAAACACTAACTGAATCATTTTACCATAAATTTAAGTACATGCATTTCAAAATTCCACTGCTAGGAATTTTGTTAAGATCAGTTTAATCATTAATAACACTATATAATAGAGCAAGGAACACATGTCATTAGATGTGATCCTTGCCCCTTATCCTCAGAATTTATGTCAGAATAAAGCTGACAATTCTGCCAGGCTCTGAACCCCCAGTGCCCCTCTCCCAATCCCTGGAAGCAAAGACTACGCCCTGTCACACAACTTCGTACAAGTTGTAGTAAAACAAAGCCTATGTTTTCTTACCTTTCTATAGAAATGGTCAGTTATTTTATAAATACTAAAACACTTCTAGGAATTCATTTTATGAGTTTGTTTACCAAACTCATTATGCAAGAACTGACTACACAAAGAGTTTCTTTGGAATTTGGTCCACAAATTCACATAACAGGTTGGAAATTTAAAACCTGCAGGAAGAGGAAGTGGGGAATCCCTAATCCTAATATGTTGTAATTACTAATTACACACACACTGAAAAGTTTTGCTCACAGAAGTCACAAACTATAAAAGGGATATTTTTTTTGGATAAAACAAAGAACTCGCTAATACCCTTCTTTGTTTTGTGAGCACCATAGCTAAGATGAAGTTAGACCCAAATTTACTGTCTACTCTGGTGGCCAAAAAAAAGAAAATTGAAGATAAAAAATTTAATTTGTCTTAATACATACTTTCCAGCCATTAATTGAGATGTAATTATGAAAGATTAAAATTGCCTTAAAAAGAGGTTGTAATAGCAGCTATCAAAGCAATATTCAAGCATGATTTCAAGGATGCTTTCAGGCTTAGAGTTAGCCTTCTTTGTCAAAAATCTTCACAACTTCATCAAAAACCTGTCAAGGAAAAAGAGAATAATAATAATTTAAAAAGCAGATACTGTTAAAACTCCATATAGCTGAGCTCTTGTTAAAAGGTCAATTTTATATTAACTTTCAAAATGGATCATTAAAAAAAACACATTATAATTTCTTAGTTTCATCTATTTTACTTTAAGACAGTAGTATATCACAACTAATACATATAAAATTTGAACATGTTGCATTCAATTTTTTTAGTGTTTTTAGGACAAAACAAACTTCTTGATAGGCTACCAATAACTTGATAAAATGTAAACTGAAGTGGCTTATCTTCCTAGTTCTGATTCTAAAACACTATGTTTTCTGATGTATAACCTTACCTCTATAGGAATTGGTAATGGATAAAAAAACAAAAGTGACTATATGATAAAAAAGAAAGGTCCAGGGCCGGCCCCATGGCTTAGCGGTTAAGTGCGCGCGCTCCGCTGCTGGTGGCCCGGGTTCGGATCCCGGGCGCGCACCGACGCACCGCTTCTCTGGCCATGCTGAGGCCGTGTCCCACATGCAGCAGCTGGAAGGCTGTGCAGCTATGACATACAACTATCTACTGGGGCTTTGGGGGAAAAAAATAAATAAATAAAAATTAAAAAAAAAAAAAGAAAGGTCCAGAAGAAGATTCAGGGAATTAGGGGGAAAAAAAGGTGAATTAAGAGACACTAGAAATAGTCGCTGGGCACTGAGGGCTTGCAAACAACAGCTTAGAGACCACTGATTCATGAAGGAAGAGAGAAGTGCTGAGCCGTGGAAACCCTGCCCCTCTGGAGCTATGTGCTCTGTGAGGGAAGAGATGAAAGCAGCCGGGGCTCTTCAGCTAGATGACTGGCCATTCACGTTATAGATTTTAAAAAAATGATCATGGGCCAAATAACAGTTCTCAAAATGCCAATTTTCCAGTGCTTGAGAAAAGAGGTTTGGAATTAATAAACCACCCATCCACTTCTTATGAAGAACAAGTCTGAAGTTGTAAAACCCATTTTAGACTCTACTCAAAAAGGAGACAAAGCCTAATTTTTCATTCAGTCTCCAGCGTCTAGAAAAGCAAACTTATCTGTCATAGTATTTCTTTTTCTCCTGCTTACCTCCACTAAAAAAATCACATTTTTATACCTGACTTTTTTTTAAGGCAGGCCAGAGCTACTCACTTCATCAACAGATTTAGAAGCATCTATTTTCTTGACCTTCCCCATTTCTTCATATAAGTCAATAATTGGCTTTGTTGACTGAAGATAGGTTTGAATTCTGCAAAAGAAGCAAATATTACAAGGTTCTAAGTACCCATCGTTTTCCCTGTGTTATAGGATAGCTCAGAGGAAAACACTGGATCTGCCCAACTGACTCCCTTATTTATCTTCTTCTGAAACAAGCCATTTTACATATCGACACATGACATTTTCTTTTTCTGGACCACAATGAGGCAAGTATTTCATCTGTTACTCAAGTTCCAAATTGAGACTGAGGTGGCCATGTATGAAAACTGCAAAGTACCTCTTTTCCAAGCTCTCTCTGTTGTCATCACTCCTACCACTACTCTTTCCCCTCTCAAGACATCGTTCAATACAGATCTAAAAAGAGAAATAAATAAAAAGTTATTAAAAAAAAGGAAGATCTGAATTTGCCATTCTTTTACCCTGAAAAGAGAATAAAGTTTGAGATTACAAAAAAACCCTGCATTAAATCCAATGTGTCTAATTCATTAATCAACATGCAAAGTCTTTTCAAATTTAAACATGTGGTTCAATTTATATAAACTAGGTTAAATAAGTACAGAGCACAATAAGAATTCATTCATGACTCAGTTTTTCCTGTGTTTTTTTTTTCAAACCGCAATAAAAAGAAGATCTGTATGTGTACGGTTCCATCTAGAATGTATTATTAACTTATTAGGTATGAATTACATGCCTCAAACTTTGTTCCATTTTTGCGTACTTTTCAATAATTCCATAAATATCCAAATATTTAAGAGTCAACATATTTGCATTTGAATAAAGTATCCCTTGTTAATCGTGAACAAACATTCCTTAGTTATAAAGCTGCGGTAACATTCTGAAGTTAACTTGGAAGAATAAGTGAAAACATATTCTTAGGGGTTGGAAGAAGAGAGCTACATCTTAAAACAGCTGAAAGGCTGCAGCAAGTCTCTACCAGAGGTACATGTGCAGTTCAACCCAAGAACAGCCCACCTCCTTCAAGGCAGGACTTCAGACTGTTATTCTTTCAGGCAGTTGGCATTAATTTAATGAAGTTTATATTACAGCTGTCAAACAGAGTCAGGCCTTTTAATTAAATGATTCCGAGAAATTCATTTAGTTACTCAAAGGTATGTCTGGGTATATTATTAGAAATGCCAGAAAGAAAAAGAACGCTTTCCTGCTTTTCTCAAGATCATTTCATTCTTAGAAGACAAATCAGGCTATCTTCATGGTTCTTTAAAACAGAAAGCTTTCCCAACCTCCCAGAAATGTGTGTTTCTTTTCCAGTAAACAACATCCTAAGGCAAGATACTCTCTGATAATAGTACAGATCTAGGAAGTAATAGTGCAGCTTCATTACCTAACATTATTGTACAAGTCAACTCTTACTTAAAAAACAAAACAAACAAGACAAATTCTTGTTATTTTGAAAATAAAACAAATTTTAGGTCCCAAGGTTGCTGATGCCAAATAGTTCTTAACACTCCAAGAGCAAGACCGTCCTTTTTTCCTATCCAATTTACCAATTCAAAAAAATACTGCTGCCAGTATCAAATGTAAATATAAGTAAAAAGTCACTTTATTTTTCTCTAATAGCTGACCATCAGTTGCTTAAAGCCCATGTGGGCAGGTGAAAATTTTCCTTACCTCATTATTACAGTCAAAAAATAGGACGAAAGATACATCCGCCTTCCCATCCATGGTCTTGTTCCAACCTTGAAGGTTGTCTTGATTTCTCGGAAATCCATCAATCAAGAATTTATTCTTCTGAGCATTGGCAGCCATTGTCCGATCCATCTCCTAAAGGGAAAGGAAGATTTACGTTCAAAACTACACTAACAAAATGTAGTTTCTTAAGCACAGTGGTGGATATACGGGTGTTTGTTGTATTATTATTCTTTAAATCATAAGCAAAGAGTGGAGGGTGCATAGAAAAAAAAGGACAGAGGAAATGATCCAAAGTATTAACATGGTTGCTTCAAGCTGGTGGAGTTATGGGTATGTACCCCTCCCCCATTTTAACACATACACACAATTTTTTTCTGTAGTTTCTAAAATTTTCCATAGTAAGCATATATTACTTTCACATATATATTCACAAAGTTATAAACAGCAAAAAGAGAAAAATAAGCATTAACCAATATCTTTGCTCCACCCTCTAGAAACCCTATCTTGCCTTCCCTTTCCTCTTCCCAAGTCATTCTGCTGTGGTAGGAAGTATGCTGCTCCTGCAGGTACTCAGATTCTCTGCAATAATTGAAGGCCAACAGCAAAAAGCTTTAGATAAAGAGATTGCTAGCATTAATTATTAGTGTAGGAGTCAATATTCTTTTTTTTTTTAACTGAAGCTAATTAACCCTAAATGCCACTGGCTACCCCAAAACACAGGTAGCAAAGGAAAGAATATATTCAGATAGATAGTAAGAGTAGTACATTTCACCATCCTCTTCCAAAGTCTGAATTTAGGTAGAATGTGGGAATATGTGAACGGAGGGTGCATATCTCTAATCTCCAAATCCTCACCATTACCAACCACCATGGCATAAGCACAGATGTGTGACTGACAAATTCCAGAGGAGCCTCTATTCCAAAGCAATCGACATCCAGTCCCCTCAGTGCTCAAACTGTTTCCTAGTTTTCTGAGAAGAACAATGGCTATCAGGACCCCTGATTCCTTTATCTGAGGGTTGGCTTTATCCCAGTATCTAGCTTCTCCAATATTCACAAAACTTTCACAGAATGGTTTTGGGTCCCTGCTATAGCATTTCTACCCCAATTATGGTAGTGGAAGATATCTGAAGAGGTACATCAATATTCTACTCATTCAATATACATTTATTAGAGGTCTACTATCAGGGACCATGAAGAGCAAGGTCATGGCCCCTGGGGGGCTCACAGTCCAGTGGGTAACAAATATGTGTATAAATGTGCTAAGTTCTAGGATGAAATATGAAAGGATGCTATGATAAACAAAGAAGTAAGCACAAACTACCTAGGAAAACTGCCAGAGAAAGCTTTACCAAAGAGGTGCAGCAGAGCTGAATCTTGAATAATGATAAAGCAGGCAGACAGGGATCAAGGTACCCCAGATGGGATAAACTGGATGTATAAAGGCTCAGAAATGAGAAAGCATAACAGCTTTGATGAATCTGAAGTAAGCTGGTACAGCCAAATCTTAGGATGTGTGTAGAGAGTGGTGGGAGCTATGACTAGAAAGTATGTAAGGGCAAGATTAATGAAGGAATTGTTATGTATGCCACACTAAGGATTTGGTTTTTATTCTGGAAGCAACACAGGACCACTGAGGAATTTTAAGCAGAAGAATATGCTCATATCACCTTTAGAAAAAAATCACCCTGACTGTACCAAGAAGGATGAATTAGAAGGGGACAAGGATGGATTAAAGGCAAAAAGACTAACGAGGAGGTTCTAGTGATGGTCCAGGTAGGAAAAAAAGAGGACCTGAACTAGGGTGATAGCGGTAATAGAGAAAAAACACTCAATAAAACAAGATTAAGAGAAAGATAATTGGAAGGATCCACTCACTGAATGGATTTGGGAAAGTGAGGGAGAGGTGGAAAATATAGGATGGCTCCCAGATTTCTGGCTCGGGCAGCTGGGTAGATGGTAGAACCATTAACCAGGACAGGAAACAAAGGGCAATCATATTTTAGATAATACATTCAGCCTCTGACATGTTGACTCTGACACTTGTGAGACATTCAGATGGATGCCTAGTAGTTGGTTAGAAATATAGGTCTGGAGTTCAGAAAAAGGATTTGTGCTAGAGCTATAGATTTTGGCATCATTAGCATAGTGAAAGCCTTGGGCGTGGCTAAAACCATCCAGCAAGAAATATATAAAATGAGACGAGAACCAAGGATGAAACCCTGAGAAGTGTCATGGTTTAGGAAACTTGCAGACAAAGAGCTATCAAAGAAGACTTAAGAAATAGCAGTCATTGAAGCAGGAAGATAAAAGAAATGGTATCACAGAGAACAAAGGAGGAATGAGTTTCAAAAAGACAGTGCGAGTTAAACGCTACAAGAAAAATGACTAAAAATATCCCCCATATTTGATAGAGAAGATCATTGGTAGCATCAGTAAGAATACTCTCAATGAAGATGGAAATAGAACCTGACGGTAAAGCGTTGAAGAGTGAGTAGAAAGTGAAAAAGCAAAAAATGTAGACTACTCTTTCACAATGCTTATCTGTGAAGTGGAGAAAGGGCATTAAATCCAGAGAATAAGGAGAGAGGATTTATTTACTCTGGAATGGAAGCAGGTTACTCCAATTTCTGAGAGAAGAGGTAAGAATGTGTGTGAATGAGCCATTCTTCATCCTCAAGTTTCTCTGGTTCTATCAGGTGCTCATATATCTTTTTTCCATCAGGCTTCAACTATTTCTTGCTGTTCCCACTCTTGTATTTCTCCTCCAGTGTTTCTTGTAGTAGGTCAAAATACCTGTTAATGACCACGGTCTTGGCAATCTGTAGTGGAGGGTTATCATGAAATGCAAGGTATCTGTTTTTCAGATGGGATATATTTTAGTTTGATAACTGTTAGTCTTAGCATTTCACACTGAAGATGGTGATGCACACACCAGAAAAGGAGACTTTAAAACTGAAAGAATGGCAACAATGGGAGAATCCCAAGAAGGAGGGAGGAAGGAAAAAAGGAAAGGAAGAAAGGTAGGAAAGGAGGGAGGGAGGAAGGAAGCAGGTTCACAAGAAAACAGAAAAGGGAAAGGAGGAAGGGGAGAAAGAAAGGGAAAAGTGGGAGGAGAAAAGGAAAAAGAAGAAGAAATAGAAATGGAAAAGAGATTGATTGCCTGCCTGTTGGGAAGGGTCAAGTGCACACATATGGATGTTAAGTTGAGCTGTAGCTGATCCTGGACCAAGGCAGGAATGCTTGCTACTGTCTAATTTCTTCCCAGGTGAAAGTGGAATTTCCAGTTCTGCCATTCTCAAACACCATGACCACCTTCCACAAGCAAGAAATTCTAATATACTCTTATTTTTTTCATTACTCAAAGGAAAGGTAGATTTAATTTCTCGTTTTCTTGCTGGTTTAAATTGGTTGGCATTCACAGTCCTTACCCTTTTTAATAAACTGATGGTTATTTCAACTGGCACAATCTTTCCATCTTTAATATACTTTTCAATGAGTTCACCATACTGTGAATCTGGGTTCTTCCTTTCATCACGAAGAAGTTCTCCTGCAGAAAGGTGTGTGTAGCCATACTTCTGAAAGAAACAACACATAGGAAAAAAAAATCAGAATACATTCAACCCCGTGGAAGGACTATTGGTTTTTTCCTTCATGTTAATTTCTAGATTCTAATTTTTCTACAGTAAATACGCTTTGTTTGTATATTAAATAAATAATAAAGGAAAACTTAAGAGAGATTTCATACATATTTTTCATTCATATTTTTTGCTTAAAAAATATCCTTAATCTAGATAGGGCATGGTAGCTATAATGTTCACAAACCATGAAATCATTCCAAAATCTATCTAACTATTCAAGGCATTAACATTTCATGTTGTTAATAATGTTCAAAGACATGCCTAACAAAAATCTATATAATTCAAGGCAAAAAAAAAAAAAATCTTATCACTGTTGGCTGTACTCACCTTCTATAAAATCTCTGCTTCCCTTCCTTAAACTCAACACATTTAAGTTGAACTCATCAGCTAATTTACACAAATTGAACTCATCAGCTAATTTACACAAACCCCATTCTTCTGTTTTGTTTCAGTAAACAGCTCAAGTCCTACCTCCTCCACGAAATTAGCTCTCCCAACCCCTCTGGAGAGTGATCACATAATCAAATAGCGTCTTAGGGTATCACTGTCTCTCCACCTAGACCAGAATCTTCCTTATCACTCTCAAAAGTCCATTTCCTACTTCCCTAGTTGCAACTAGAGAGGTCTCATCTGTAAAATGGGAATACAGATACCTATTTTATAAGTTAGTGGTGATGATTACATGAGATAATGCATATAAATTGCCTACCAGAAAGACTGACACATAGCAGAGGAAAAAAGCCACCAAATTACCGTCCTTGTCATCATGAAGACACTTATCTTAAATAATCTGGAAGCATTTTTATATTATATGTATATACCATTTTTATGTTATAATATATGTGTGTGTGTACATATGTATTCACTTTAATGGTTTTGATAAAAAGACCAATCAAGGGGCTTAAGTGAGATAATAGATATGAATATCCTATGAAAGGTCAATAGTATAGTATTAGTATGATTGTGATGATCATTATTAAGGACTTACAAATGATGTATTAGGTCAGGGTACAGGGTAATAGTTGAGCTAAGTCATATAAGATGCTATGGTGTTCTACCATTTCCCCATGGTTGGAATGAGAAAACAAAACAGATCTAACAGACAATTCTGAATACTGAAAAGCTTCTTCCTCCACATGAACTTGCATGTTCCCTTTTATTATGTCAAAAGAACTATAAAATCTATTTTTAAAATGTTTTTACTCTCAAATATCAGGACACCCAAGAACTATATTCAATGTTCAGTTACAACAATCATCTTATTCCAAATTCCTAAGACTCTCTAAATGGGTTTTTATCTTATCCATAGTAAGTGTACAATAAATATTTGATAACTTAAATTTTATCTTTAATTTCAAATTTAAGATTTGAGGCAGCCCACTCTCCCACCTCCTGTTTAAAGTACAGTGTTTCAACTGCATATTTTACAAAAACTAACTCCTTCAATTACCCAGGCTATGGTGAGTTTTCTCTTTTTTTAGATTGCAGAACCCATACATTCTTTATCCTTGTTCTATTTCCAAAAATGCTGGCTAAACTTGTTCTTGCTTATTAAAGTAAGCTAACAGTAAGGCAGTCAGCAAAGCAAAACAAACTCTAAATAGTTTATTTGCTGACTAAAATTGGATATAAAGTTTGATGAGAATAAACAAAAACCATAGTATCATTCGTGTCTCTTTCTTAGTCACATAGTCCCTTCCGTCAGAAGAAATGATCAAAAGTGTATTTAGTTGTTGTAATAGGCTTTTAAAAAAGACTCCCGTCGTTTAAAGAAAATGAAAATAAATACAAAAGTGTTTAATTATTTAAATTATTATTTCAAAATTATTTCCACACCATTTTTAAATGCCTTCTTTGATCACCAAGTATAAGCAAACTTTTGAAAGACGGGTGTAGGAAAGACTTTATAAAAGAAGAGGTGTGACCTACTTTCTCATTTACTATGTACAATTTTCAAACAACATTTTGCAACTACCGTCCACAAAATTTTATAGCAACTTCATTTCCCACTGCTTACTTTGGCTCCTGCTTGAAGTCTGTGCTTGCTGGATGCTCTCATCTGGTCTAGAGATTATAGCATGTGTTAACAGCGAATAAACGCAGAGACAAACAGTACTAAACAATGGCAAATGCTCAGTGAAACACCAATAATACAGATTGCTCTGTACAGACTGCCTCTGCTGTATGAACAACATAAACATCTAGAAGCACAGCTAGTAATTTAGAAATTAGTACACACACTGTTTGTTTCCTGACATTGGAGAGCTCAAATTTGCAAGCTTTCTATTGCATTAAAATGGGTTTTGGCATCTCCCTTTTTTAAAAAGAGAAACTGGTAGTAAATTGTAGAAGTATACAAATGATACTTTAAAAAATAATTACACAGTTTGTCAAAAAGAGAGAAAACAATCTTATCTGCAAAGTCCAAGGAAACAAGGAATTTAAATAAATATAACCATGTCAAACCTATACATGTGTCTATTTCTCACCACATCCCATTTTTTAAAATCCTCTATTTACCAGTTACTTTTTTATACTATATTTTTCTTAAGGATTTTGCCGAAGCTTTCCTCTTACCACAGAGTTTCTGCAACAAAAAAGCAACTATCACTTACACACTAGTTATTATGGTATTTTAATAATAGCTAGACTTTAAATAGCATGTTTTCAAAGCATTCTGTTGTCATTAAGTAGTTACTGATGCCAATTTTGAGGAAAGCAAGAATGGATATTTCCCAGGCTTAACCAAAACTTTTTCACATTCTCTGAAATTTCCTAGCAATTAAAACCTAGTGGGTTACTAACTACAGTCTTAAGAGCAACACTCAAAACCACAGCAGGTTATAAATACTATAAACTATAATAACTACAATTACAAGCTGCTATTCAACTAAAAATAGTAGTTTTCTAGTGACAAACGTATAAACTCAATACATTTAGAGTAACTGTCTAAAGTTTTTACTTTCATTTTTTCCTTTAAGAAGCTGAAAAACAACTCAGCAACTTTTATAAAACACACACTAAGATTTGGAGAGAGAAAAAAGCACCACGTTCTCAACAAGTAAAGAATGGCACTCTATTTTACTAGGCAAATGAAATAGGAAATGTTGACAATTTTATAGTATCAAATCTCAAATCATCTTGATCAGCTTCTCTCACTCACTTCTTAGCAATTGTCTTTCCTTCCTTCTAAATTTAGGTAATGTGGTTCTATGTGAACAAAACAATCAAAAACAAAACAACAATAACAACAGAGTTCAAGGTACAAATGATGCATAAATGGCAAGTCCTAAAAGCCAAGAAGAGATCCAGATGCCAGGCACTTTCTCCTGTTAGTGCAGCAATTGAAAGTGCCATTGGACTGCTACTGAGCCTTGCATTACATAGAGGGAACATAGCAGAGATATTAGATACAAATGTATTTTTAAAGCAACCGAGTGAGTTAAAACTATTGGGTGACCTTTAATTTTTATTTATTTATTTTTTTCCCCCAAAGCCCCAGTAGATAGTTGTATGTCATAGTTGCACATCCTTCTAGTTGCTGTATGTGGGACGCGGCCTCAGCATGGCCGGAGAAGCGGTGCGTGGGTGCGCGCCCAGGATCCGAACCCCGGGCCGCCAGCAGCAGAGCGCTCGCACTTAACTGCTAAGCCACCGGGCCGGCCCTGGGTGACCTTTAAATAGCTGACACATCTATGAATCATTTAAGACTATGTTCACTTTGCATTCCCTATAAGATCAGTGAACCTTAAAATCTAAATTCTATTTATGTACTGTCAACAATGCACCTTCAGCAGAACACCTGGAAATGCTGCAGGGACTATCTGGAGCCACCCAGACTCACCAGTCTGGTACTTGTTGCAGACAATAGCTTTAGAGCCTACAGCATCCCAGCAACACTTCATGTAAGCCTCTCATTTATTTCAAAGGCATTTCCAATAGAACTTTTTCCAATTACTCTAAATGAGATGTCTGATAATGACTTGCCAGAAACAATATCTGCCAGTCTTGGGGAACTTACTTTTCTTTGACTGTAGGAACTGCTACACAGTGCCCAGATACTTAAAACTGGTCAACTGTTTAGGGTTCCTTCCAGATTCACCCATAAAGGGTTAGAAAAAGAATTTTTCCTATGATCACCATTAAAGAAAGATTATCTATCCAGGGGGAGAAAAGCTGAGTGTAATACTTGACTTAAATTGCTAGCGGATTTCCAATCTCATTTTTAGTCTGCCCTCATTGTATTTCCAAATGTGTGCATTGCATTTGACCATGCCTATTTAATTGCAAATCGACATATTAACTATAAACTATGGAAATTATAAACCAAGCTAAATCTTTTCTTAAGCAAGAAGCTTTAGCAGACAGACTCCAAATTAACATGAAGCATACTTCTTTCTCTAATTAAAGAGTGATGTTTTAAAAGCTTACATCCTGCAAAGAAGAAAAAAGGAGGGATATAATCCATTCAACTGCAGACAATTATAGCACTATTTCATTTTCCTAGATGTTTTACTCTTCATGTAAAAAAATTTTAATTCAGGCAATACTTGGAACTTATTTTAAATCCATAAATATTTATTGAGTGTCTACAAAGTGCCAGGAAACATGCTGATTCAGGGGCGGTAAATAGGTTATATTCACAAAGGATGCAATAGCGACTTGAGCCCTACTATTAATTAATAAAGGCAATTCTTCATATTTGCACAACTTTTCCTACGGAATTCAGTCTTTACCAGTACTGTCTGCTTGGGGAAGAAGGTGATTCTTCAGAGGCAGTGGCAAGAAGACAAAACAATAAAGAAAACTTAAAGAAAGGGTGAGTTAGAAGCCACTAAACAGACCATTTCCTCATTTGTGTAAGCCCGGATATCCCTCTAACACTCTGCAGAAGGCTTCTCAGATAAATTGAGGATTTTGGTATATGATTTACATAC